TATTCTTGTTTAACTGAAGAAATCACAGGTCTTTTAACTCTATCTTCTTTTGCTGATCCAAGAAGCTGAAGTCTAAAATATGATTTATAAAACCTAAGATCAATAAATTCAGAGTATAGTTTCCCAACTCTATCAGCAACTTTTTTCACAAATCCTCTAAAGTCTCTGTAATCAACAAACTGTGCATATTTATACACAATATACCAATTGCATTTATTAGTATTAGATGAACTGGCTAAGGCAAAAGCATCTAATATTGTAAGATGATTTAAATCAGAGTATAAAATATCAACACAAGTAATTAAGATTCTTGGTAACAAATCTTTACGAGAAATTTTATTTCTATTTAAGGAAGGAAGTTCAGGATTTATAGAATCAGGCTTTTGTCTTGCATTAATATCTAAAACTAGACAAAGAGATAAATTCCCATTAATACACTCATAGGTATTGAGTAATTTATAAATTTTAGATGAATGATTAACTACCATAAAATCCTTCCCTACCACCTGAACTATATATTTATTAAAAATCTCTTCAGAATGATAGGCACCTAGAAGAGAGATATTATTTTTATTATTAGACAGATATTGAAAGTATATATAATCATTATAACTAAGCTCATAGTCAACGTTCGCTAAATCAAAGAAGAGTCTGATTACTTTATTTATTACTTTAGGGTGAGACCTGAAATTTTTTTGCATAAGTAATATAATACAATGTATAGAAATACTAAGTATAAAATTACATGTAAATTTCCCAAATCTTCAAAATAAAAATTTTGAGCGAATATGCTTGTTAGCAAAATACTGAGTCAGTGGTAATACTCAAAAGTAATACTTAAAAGTAATACCCAAAAGCAATCGATGCAGTAAGTATCTCTTTATAGCAACTATATGAGAAAGAGTTCTAGGAAGGCAGAAGCGAAAATAAGAGTATAGATTTAGTAATATCCAAAGGTAGAATTATATAGAAATAAAATAAGAAATTATGCTTTTGAATACTATTGCTGATAGGTAGAAAGAGATCAGGAAGGCAAAAGGATTTAGAAGAATATACGAAAAAAAGTATAAAAGCTATATAGCTTGAACTAATTCAGCACTTTATGCCTTATCCTCAGTAATCAAAAGGGTCACGAAAAGCAGAATTATAAGAATGGTACAACACCAGCATTTCGCATATGCTTGATTAGCAATCAAAAAGTGAGTGAATGGATTGCAATACATCTTCAGCAAATAGATGGATTGCAAATTCAGCACTTTGTGTCTCATCTGGCAATCAAGAGATAGTAATCAAGAAGGAAAATATATAGGCTGATCAATATAATGCAAATTACATCTCTGATCTAACTGACTATCAAACTAGACCCTTAAAAGTTACTTAAAAGTTACTTAAAAGTGACAGGAAAGTGTTTAGAACTGACGAGGAACTGAAATACGTGATCAGCGCAGTAAGACGCAAAAATTTCGTTAATTTCAGCTAGCATTAAAGATGGTATTACAACATTGTAACACTTATTTGTCATCTGTTGTAACTTAAATTTTAATAATGTTGCAATTCGTTGTAACATTGTAATGCTTATTTGTCACCTGTTGTAACTAATTGAGACGCCATCTTTAGCTAGCACTATTTCATATTTTTTTTCAAAATTTTGAGATGCAATAACTTGGCATCCAGATATCTGATTCATGCGATCTTAGCATCATTGGAAAGCTCTTAACACCCTCTTCAAATTATACAAATAAAATTACAGGAAGCTAAAATATTCCGCCCTAAAAATCAGATCAAAAATATAGCATAATGCCAGCCAAATCTGATCTGTAAATTTATTGCGTCACCCAGTGTTGGCAAATTCCAAGGTCATTTCCCTTTTTTTGAAGTGACCTAGGTCACTTTGTATATGATCACGTGATAGATTTCATAGTAAATCATCACATGATTAGGTCATTTTAAGGTCACTTCAAGGTCATTTGCCAACACTGGCGTCACCTGATCAAAACATGATTTATGCAATAAATGTTAGCCTAGTATCTTGGCCACAAAAAGGTCATAGAATAATGAAAACAAGCAGATAGTTAGAAGAAAATAAAAAGAGAACGGAGTAATAAAATCAAGCAAATATTTATAAAGCAATAAAAAGACTATAGAATAATAAAAATAAATGGATAGTAATAAAGCAATAAAAAGGGCATAAAATATTAAAATCAGTAACTAGGTAATAATATACTCATAACTAGGTAACAGTTTACTCATAACTAGATAACATTATAGTGGAACTGGATAATACTCTTATAAAAGTATTATCCAATATATTAAATAGTGATTTTAAAGATAAATATATAATAAAATTAAAAAAAAATTAAAAATTTTAAACTTATATTTCTTGATTTTAGAAATATAAAATACTATAATTTATTAATAAGATATCTAATAAACTAAATTTTATATTTTGTAATTATTTTTTTTAAAGATATGATAACGCTTATATTTATTATGAAAAATTCAAATTCAGTAAATAATTATATGAAAATCCTGAAACTAGGTATAAAAGTAGAAAAAATAAATTGAACTGCCTAAAACGTTCTTATAAGTTAAAAACTTACTAACCTTAGACCAACCAGTTATCCTGCTATATTTCAGAAACAATTATTAATAGAGTCTCTATCAATACACAATAACTAGATTATTACTATGCCCTTTTTTTTCCTAACAATAATTTTTATTCTAAATTTAAATTCAATATAAAAACAAATAACTCAAATTATTGTTAAACTAAAAATGAAACTAATAAAAAAAATTTGATTATAACAAGTTTCTAGCTAAATTGTCTGATTAATTCCTGATTACAATAACATTCTATTACAGGAGCGTTCATATCACTAAGTTTTATCAGAGGCTCTTCAGTACTCTTAAACTTCTATACTAATATGTCTGTCAATTTAGATTACAGCTATTAGCAATCATTGTACAGAGTTCAAATCACACAGTTGCGAAAAATCAGAAAATTCCATTAAGATTAGTAGGCTTTATAACATCAGAGATTTAAAAGGAATATGATTATTTAGAAAGGTAGTAGAAAAATCATCATATATAATTAGTTGATCCAAAGTTGTTATTGATCCTGATCATCATTTGGGATATCTTCTGATGCTCACTTTTATAAACAAAAAGAAAAAAAAGAAAAAATAGAAAAAACAGCTAAGAGAAAGGCAAAAAAATATTTTAATAAAAAAATAACACTGTTTATACTAATAAAAACTGTTTTTTGAAATAAGAGGGTTTGGGAAGAACAAAGAGATGAAGAAGTTTGTAAAGGGAGTTTTGTTTTTTATTCATAGGCTAAACTGTGACTATCCTTAATAGTACACATTTTTTATGTAAAATTTCTTGGTTGAGTAATTGCTGGAAAGAGTTATTTTTTTTTATTTTGTAATTATTAGATAATAAGTTATTTTTAAAAATTAAAAAATTAAAAAATTGATATATATTGATAATTATTGATTTTAAAAATTAAAATACTACTATTAGATATTTCTTAAAATAATCAATCTAAAAACTTTATTTTATTTTTTATGATTTCTAGATATTAAAATATAATTTTTTATAACATTTTATAAATAATTTTACACTTGTCATTTAAAAAATAATATTTTTTTATTTTTAATTAAAGATTTTACAAATTATTAATAATATTTATTATAGTAAAATATTTGATTACAATTTATATAAATAAATAATTAAAATTTTAAAAATTTTTTAATTTTTAATTAAAATGTTTTGAATAATGTTATAATTATACAGTATTTAGATATTCTTTATAATTTATATAGCTAAAAATTTAAATCACATTTTTTTAATCAAAAAAAAATGCAACTCCTAATTTTTAACTTTAAAAGACTATAGCTTAACTATAACGAGAATTATGATTTAATTTCAACTTATATAATTAATAATCTATATCAGATATTCATATTTTATTAAAAAATTTTTAATTTGCTAAAATAAAATTGACCCGTGTTATAAGGAAACGACATCAAAATGTTCTCTAATATTAACACTCCAAAAACGTTTGCATTAAAAGTTAAACAAATTCTTTTAAATTTGACAAATTCACATAAATTAACAATATTAAATGCTTTTAAGCAAAGATAAAATCCTTAAATAGGAGTATACAATTTAGTATACAAGTAAGTTAAATAGTATGAGTATTTTATATAATCGCATATAGCCACCTTTATCAGCTATAATGCACCTTGATCACAGTCCTACAACAACTAATTGACAACTTTTTCTTCTAAGTCAGAAATTATTCAACTTGGATATATAAAAGGAAAAAAAAAAAAAAAAAAAAAAGGTAAAAGAAAAGGGAAAATGATTCTACTTACAAAAAAAAAATATCATCAGGATAATGGAGAGAAAAAAATAATAAAAATAAGTAAAAAGAAGGGGAGATTACAACATATTTCAAAGCATTACTCAGTTCCAGATATAAAATAATTGAAAAAGATGCGGGTGAGAATGCTACTAAAACATTTTGAAACCAAGTCCAGAATAAAATATAAATAATGACGTGAAAGTATTTGTGACAACTAAAAATGCACACCGCTTGTAACTCTAACCAAAAAAATCCATTTAACGACCGTGACGAAGAATTTACAAATGATGTTTTTTTTTTTTTTTTTGTTTTTTTTTTAGGAAAAAAAAATAATAATAAGATAAAAGTCTATCTATTATAGCCTGAATTTTTAATATATATACCAAATTAACATTAAAAAAGATAAAATAATAATTATCAACTTAATATTATATAAATTTTTGAAATGAAAATAAGAGGAATAAAAAAGATTGACTTACTCGCTAGATTATACAATAGTCCATGAAATAAATATCAAACATTTTTATTTGTTAAAAAAAATTCGGACCAAACGTTAGGGAATATACGAAAAAATAAGTAAGTCAATAGTAGCGATACTCGATTCAACGTGAACAATAATAATCGTAATTTATACGCACGTAAAAATGAAAAGATTATTAGTTGCAGCCACAGCGATCGAATTTTCATTTGGATGCCATGAAGCGTGAAGAATTTTCTTATTGAAATCAATAGCATCGACGTTGATCTCTTCTTTTTTGTTATTTTTTCCACGCAGCATCTTATTTTTTGCTGATCCAGCACGCTTGGCTTTGAATGCACTTTTATCAGCTTGCAAGGCAATATCGGTTAATCCCTCTCGGTCATAAATGTGAAAATAATTATTGTATGAACCAGTTAGAACATTTCTAGAATGAAAATGAAAGAAATTATTAGTCAATCATATAAAATATCTATCTTTGGAAACTTTTTTAATAAAAAAAAATTACGTATTCTACAATAACTTACTGGCCATCACCACTAAAAGTACACTCAAATTTGTCAAAAATGCAATCATTTTCATAGAGATCACAAAGCTTATTTCGCAAATGATCATGAATATTGATTGTCTTCAGTGGTCGATTTTCCATGGTTATGTCCCAGATTTTCAGGGTCAAGTAATCACGTGAAAGAATGTACTTCCCATCTTTGCTGAATTTAACATCAGAGATAGATGAAATGATTTCTGAGAAAAACGATTTATTGGCAGGATCTTCTTGTTCTTCAAATACTTTACAAATGAAGTAAATTAATAAATATTTGAAAAGAATTTGCTTTATAAATCTTCAAACTTTTTAAAAAAACTAGCTCACATTTTGCATGTTGATCACACAATGCCGCTGCTCTCATATCACTTAATTTTATAGTCCCTTTACTGCTACTGTACATAAACAAATTACAATGAAGAGGATGAAATTCAGCCGCGGTAATAACTTCGGTCAATTCCTCCATATTAACTGGTTTAATATCAACAATATCTAAAAAAAACAAATGTCTGGATTAAGGATACATTTAGTTATAAAAATTTTGAAAATGAGTAATTATTCGTTACTAAGAAAAGGATACTAAAACTTTGATCGCTAATATTCAAATTCCATAAATTAATTCTTAAATCATCCGCAGATATATACGTTTCACCATCAGAATTAATGGATATGGAATTAATATGATATGCATGAGCATTAGCATACACTTTACGAGGAACAGCAGCAATGATTGTGTCATGATGTGTAAGTTTCGGTAACCTCAATTGTTGAATTCTACCATTTTGAGGTCGCAATCCATCACTCAAATTGTTTTCCGCAACTACTTTCAAAGATTTTTCAAACACTTTCCAAAGTTTAATAGTTTTGTCTATAATAATAATATAAAAAAAAGGAAATTTAGTTGTAACATTTTTAACGATTTAATAGAATCATAAAATGAAAATTACTTACCATTGGTGGACAATAGAAAATGCGCGGCATTCTGTCGTTTGCACCATTTAATTTTGTTGATCTTTTCCTCAATTTCCAAGCTTTTCAAGTAATCGAATTCAGGCTCGTGCGATTGAAATTCGGTGTAAAATTTGTATTCACAACCCTTTTTCTGAAGTCATAAAGAACAATTATATATTTAGAGCAAATTCTAAAAGGAAATGATAATATCATAATGAATAACAAACCCCATCGTTTCGTTCAAACAATACTACTCGTCCTCCTTTATCCCCAGTGGCAAGGTAATCGCCAGTATGGTCAAATTCCACGGTCGAAATAATGTCAGCTGCATATTGGAAATATAGTTGTGAGACCTATAGAATCTCTAATGCAAAAGAAAAAGCGACATCAAATGATTCACGATCTGGCACTTGGAGGCTATTCGTAACTGCTCCACGCCAAATAACCAAGTATTTATTCTTGTAAACCTGTTTTTTTTTTTGTATACAAAACTATGGGTTCTCTATCCTATAGTACTATAATCGTTTCCAAGGAATCGATCACAATAAGTGCCAAAATTAGAGTATTTGACACGCAATCTCGGCGCTTATTTGTGAGTTCAATGAAACCTGAACAACATTCCCTAGCACATCAACTGATTACCATAAAAGGTAGGAAAAAATAAAGTTCATCACAACACCGGTTGGTTCGCTCCGGTTTGTAAGTTAAAAAGTCCAGAAGGTCAAAAGGACAATTACCTTCAGTAATGTCCTCGACCTCGCCCTTGTCACCAAAGCATTGAGCAAATTTCCAACCAAAGTCCGAATCGGCCATAATAATATAGTATATTACCCGTTAAAAAGAGAGAAGTCGGCTTTTTCAGATAGGAAGGAAGAAATTATCAAATAAAGAGACGTCTGTTGGAGGAACGTGAGCGACCAGGTAAATTCCAGGCGTTAAGATAGTTGGATGTTTACTGATGGATGGATGGAGGTCGTCGACACAGCGTCGTGGGTTTTTCGAGTTTTGTTCGGGCGTGTATATCGTTGAAATTAGTGAGTGCAGCTTTTTTCAAGTCACACTAAGAACATTTGATAAACGAAATCTTAAACTACACATTCACATTATTGAAATTCGACTTCACATGGCGTGATAAATAATAAATTAAATTTAATCTTACAAATAATTATTTAAACATCAACCCATGAACTATATGTGTATATAAAAATTTGATATGCAGCTTAAAAAGTGATAAAAAATGTTTTTGTGATTATTATTAAAGAATAATAGGAATAATAGGATTTTTTTTTTTTCATACTCCGATCTATTCTCTGATCAATTATAATAAAGATTATCCGCATATCCCGCTAGACTTGATTATTATAGTGTCACTGCGATACGTAAGACTCCCAATAACGTCAGTCGCGTGTTTGTAGAGATTCTAATGTAAATTATCTTAACCATAAGGAGCAGATACTAAACAGTACGATGAGACAATTATTTAGCCAATAAAAAAGAGATATACCACACCCCATCTTATCACAAGTGAAAACTTGACCTTTTTCATCAAAAAATGCACAAAAATTTTCTTTTTAAAACAAAAGTTTGATGATTCTAGTCAAACATTCGGATGGTTAGAAACTTCCAAAATGACTGTAAGATTCTCCAAGTTTAACCTTCCCGATAAACCTTTAAATGTTTTTTAAAACGTTGTTATTTTCCTTTAGATCACTTTCAAACCATCCCTTCAAGAAATTCACGAACTTATTCCCCAGGGAAATACAATACCTGTATATGCCCAAATACCAGCAGACTTACTTACACCTGTAATTGCTTATTTGCGCCTTGTAACAAATGGCCGGTTTTCTTTTCTATTCGAATCTGTGGCTGGAGGTGAAAAAATAGGACGTTATTCTTTTATTGGCGCGGGTAATATATTGGCTCTTCATTTTTTGAATTTGATAATATATTGACTCTTAAAAGAAAGTACCTTTTTAAAAATGTAGTATAATAAATTTATAAGCTTATTCTAGAAAAAATATTTTTAAAAAACATTTTTCACTTTAATAATAAAAATCTATAAATTATTTTGGTTTGCTAAGTTGACTAATCTAATAAGATTATTTTTTGGTGATTTTAAAAGACAGATTTCTCCGTCATACGATTTCTAAATTTTTTATTTTCTTTTTTTAATGTAAACATAAATTTATTGACTATTTTGTAATTTATTCTTCGAATTTAAACAAGTATTGAATTTCTTTTGTGAGTCACTGTATTTATTGTAATTATCAATCTCACTTACACTTGTCCTTAATTTAGATCCTTACAAAATACTTAAGACAGGTGAAAAGGAAGCTGTTACTGGTGATCCTCTTATTGCCTTAGAGAAAGAACTTAAAAGTATCAAATTTGTTCCTATTCCTGGTATCCCTTCATTTACTGGTAAGATGAGTAAAATTGTACATTATAGGTTTAAATCAACCGTTTTTATTTTAACAAATATTTTAAATCATTAATACAGGTGGAGCAATTGGATATATCGCATATGATTGTGTGAAATACTTTGAACCACGTACAGCACGTGAATTACATGATCCATTTGGTTTACCAGATTCTGTTTTCTTATTTTGCGATACATTAATCATTTTTGATCACATTTATCAGTTATTAAATGTTGTATCACATTATCGCGGTGATTCTACGGATCCAAAAATTATTGAAAATCAATACCATCTTGCAATCGAAAAAATACAACGCGTATTAAATTTATTGCAAACGGATCTTACACCTTCAGTACCTCAGAAAGAAATCCAATTGAATCAAGCCTGTACTTCTAATGTTGGCAAAAAGGGTTATGAAACATTTGTAACACAATTAAAAAAGCACATAAAGAATGGCGATATCATTCAAGCTGTTCCATCTCAAAGACTTACACGACATACTTCTTTACATCCTTTTAACGTTTATCGATATTTACGTACACTTAATCCATCACCTTATATGTTTTATATAGATCTTGAAGATTATCAAATCGTTGGAGCATCTCCTGAACTTTTAGTTAAAGTCGAAGATGATATAGTATATACTCATCCTATTGCTGGTACTCGTAAACGTGGAAAAACAAAAGAAGGTAAACTATTTTGTTTTTAATTTTTTTCAATAATATTATTCAATAAAAATTCTAATGTGCTCATTTTAGAGGATGAAAAACTTGTTAAGGAACTGATTAATGATCCAAAAGAAAGAGCGGAACATATTATGTTAGTTGATCTTGGAAGGAATGATGTCAATCGTGTTTGTCAGCCAGAAACTGTTAAGGTTGATTCATTAATGGAAGTTGAGAAATATAGCCATGTAATGCATATTGTAAGTCAGGTATCTGGTAAGCTTCGACCTGAAAAAACTAGATTCGATGCATTTAGATCAATATTTCCTGCTAGTACGGTCTCAGGTGCTCCAAAAATTAGAGCAATGGAACTTATTGCAGAACTTGAACAAGAAAAAAGAGGCGTCTATGCTGGAGCTGTTGGACATTTTGATTTTGCAAATTCAATTGATACTTGTATATCAATTCGTACTATGCTTTTTAAAAATGGTGTGGCATATCTTCAAGCAGGTTTGTTTTATATTGATAAATATTTATTTATTATTTTTTTTTTTTTAAACATTTTTTTTTATTATTATTATATAGGAGGTGGTATAGTTTATGATAGTGTAGAAGAAGATGAATATCAAGAAACTATTAACAAATTAAAATCTAATGTTGTTTGTATTGATGAAGCTGAAAAATATTATTATAATTTACAGAATCATAATTATTAATCACATAATCAATATTATTGTTAATTTAAAAATTAATATAATTTTGTTGATATAATATAAGATTATGAATTTTGTTTTTGTTTCTATTTTTAAATAATATTATTTATAATAAAAGAAAAGATATTCTTCAAATTTTTTATATAAATTATATAAATTTAAAATTAAAAAGTTTATAATTATAATATTTTTTTATATATAATATATTCTTTTGAAATTTTTTTAAAAAATTTATTATAAAAAAAATAAATTGTAATAAAAAAATTAGTTTAGTATTATAAATTAAATATTAATTTTTTATTAAAAATTTCAATTTATTAATTTATTTATAATTATTAATAAAATTATTTATTTAATATCTTATGATTTATAGAATTTTTATATTTTAATAATGATTTTAATAAATCAGTTATCAGATACAAATTCAGTTATTAAGCATTATTTATATTATTAAAAATAATATATATATATTAATTTTTATTTATATTTATAATTTTCTTTTTTTCTTATTTATATTTAATTTTAAAGATATAATGATCTTTTGTTTTTCCTATTATTATAGTTATATAATTATACAATTTAAATTTAAATTTAAATATATTATTATTATAATAAAATGTAAAATACCTTATTTTATAATATATTATCTTATTAACTAGGAAATAGGGACCGTTGTTAAGTCTGAAATAATTTTAACTAAAAAAAATATTGTAAAAGTCAATCAGTATCGATTTAATTTTTGAGTGGGTAGACATCAAGACTTTGCATAGACATATATAATCTTTCACTTCATTTTAGACTAATAATATTAAATTCTATAATTTTAATTAATCATTATATAATCAAATTAAGAATATTTTTTTTGTTATAAGATATTTATGAACTCCAATTGATGAACTGTAATCTAAAATTACCATTACTTTATTTTTGTATCAAATATTGATTGGATTATTATATTATATTCTAAATAATAAGAAATATTTCTTTCAGATATATCAATAAAATATATTAAACAAATTTCTTAAAATATTCCTTTAATACATATTTTACTAAATTCTTAATTATAATTAAAGATAGTCACTGCAATTAAAAAAATAATGCAATTGAGTTGCAACTTATAGCGTAATTAAATTTTCTTATAGCATAATTAAGTTGTAACTTAATTGAAATTTGAAAATAATTATAGGAACCATCTTTAATTATAATATTATATTTCTTTAGAAATTATTAAAAAATTAAAAATAAGTAGAATATATTAAATATAATTAAATAAAATTTATTTACTAGATATATTTATTAAGATACTTCAATAAAATATCCTAATTATATAATTTGAAATTCTTATCAAAATATACTTATAATATCTATATTAAGTTCAATCTCACCTTTAAAATCTGATGACAATAATATTTAAAAGATAAATTAATTATCTTCCAATCCTTTTTAATCATTTTTTATTAAAATTTTTTAAAATAAATTCCTTTTTATTTTTAAATTAATCAATTAATAGTTATAAT